AGGGTTTTTGTTTCGGAGTCTTTATTTGACAAAAGTAGAGTTAAGCAGATAAGAGCATGGGGGGAGATGCAATCCCACACAAAAGGACTTCATTAAATTTGATGTATGATGTACTCAGTGAGTACTAAGGGAGTCCCATACATAATTTAGCTCAGCTAAATGTACAATTAGATTATGAACAGTCACACGAATGACTTTAAAAAAATTCAATTGGAAAACAAATTTTGTGTACAACTTTAACTTCTATAGGTTGTCTTTCTTCAGTGAAGGCTTGGAGAGTCCCGAATCAGAATATTGTAGTCTTTCTTTAAAAATAACAAACTCAGACAAAAATACTTAACAAGTATTTTTACTTCAGAAGCTAGGATGATCTAATAGATGAGTAAAATAAAGGAAGTCCAACCTCAAACCCTACTGAAAGGCACCAACCAGATGGTGGACCTTCTTGCTGTGTGGCAACAGTGTTAACCACCATGCCACCGTGCTGGCCCAAGAGTGAAAATGTCATCCATATAGTTATTTCTTTCTTTCATTCTTTCTAATACAGTGAATGACTGTTGGAGATGACTCTATTGTAACTAATGTATGAAACTAATATAGATGCAAATCCATTATCTAACATGTTTGAAAAATTGGTACTCAGGGAGCTAGTAGAGCTAGTGGCCATGCTCCCCGTTCATGTTGAAAGGATGCAGCTGACATGGAGCTATCTGATCAAATGGTTAAAGGTTTTTCCTGGCACACCCAGCAGGGAGCAGTGTGAGATCCCCTAGGAGGAACTGGAAAATATTTCTGGGAAAGATCTGGACTAAAGGTCACACCCACAATGTCCTGGAGTAAAGCCTAGTCCTGAAACACAATGACTCTATTCACACAATTTGAAAGCTTTTCTTTTTTTTTTTAATCTGAGTTTTTAAGTTAGTAAAAAAAAATACAAAAGAAGTGGAAACTGTAGTGGCAAAACAGACACAGATAAAAACAATTAAGACAATCACACTGGGGAGGAAGTAAAATCAAGCAGAAGACACTGGTGACTTGTGCTATGGGAAAAACATGACGAGGTCAAACACACAATACAGACTGAAAACAATACAGTTTTTGCATAAAAGCTGTGGTGTGATGTGTATGAGAGGAAAGGCACTGTAGACTAATGTATTATTAAAAGTTTGTGCATTAAGTCAGTGAGATAGGAAAAGAGTTGCTACATATTAATGAACTTTAGCCTATTTGAAGCCAGGAAAGAAAGCTGACTGTGAAAATTAACAGACAGTCTAGGTATAAAACGTGCGACTGAATAAATATTCAGTCTGATGTTTAAATGAAATGTTTCATTTTCTCATGTCTCAGTCATTCAAGTGGCTGAGATAGTCTTCTCCAAAGACAATCATCTGTTTCAGTGCACACAGGATGTGAGCATCAGTGGCATCATTTGTATTGATTTCTGAACTGTAGTTCTTCACAAGAAAGATGCTGTTCACTGGGAGGCCCAGAAGCTGGCTAAATTTGTAGACCTGAGTGTTGAAAAGATTTCAGTGATTCAGTAACTGTAAAAAGATTTCAGTGCTAAATTTAGAAAATGTAACTGAAAAAGTGCATTCAAAATTAATAAAATTTACCTGTTCCTTCAGGTAGTCACTCTTGTAGATGTTGTTCACATTCTTTTGTGCCTTGGGACAGGCGTCATCAACTTTAGTGAGAATAGCCAGCTGGGGAATTTCTGTTAATGCAAAAACGTAATCACTTTATAAACATTTGTTTTTCTCCCTCTTTTTTTTGCTGCATATTCGGTTCAATACTTTGGTGTCACGGTTCGATATTTTTTCGATATAAAAAAAATGTTCATGCCTTTTTAATTTGTCATTTATTAAAATTATAAATATATATTTTAACTCAAAAGTACAGTTTTTAAATTTAATGTTGCTGAAACAAAAGTAATTAAAAAAATAAATATATCTCAGGGCTCTCAAAATTTCAAAATCCCTGGTAGCCCTTCGGGCAGGGACTCTTCAGTTTTTGGTAGCCCAAAATAAATGTAAGTAGCCCGAATAAAAAAGAGAGCAATTTTTTGATTGATGTTTTGTTTCCTTTACAATATTATACATTAAAGTATAATATTGTAAAGGAAACAAAACATTAATCAAAAAATTGTTGAAAAACAAATTACAACATTGTATAAAAATTACAATCATCAACTCAAATACTTGGTTCTAATTGAACAGAAATTTCTATGAACTTGTAAGAACTGTGTAGGACATGAATCAGTCTGTGTCAGATCCTGAATTTGAAATTTCCACTGAAGTCACGGGTAAGAGGCAAGTGGAACCAAGATCTAGGCCATTTGCCAGTGGTAGTTCACTCTTTGCAACATAGTACGCTGTTCTAAACAGATTTTTCAGGTTTATTTTTAGTATGTTATTTGCAATTGGTGTTTGTTCTGGGAAAGATATTGCAGACTGAGCAATAATGCATTTCTTGCATTTCTCATGGGTTCTAATGGGGGCCTTTCTTAAAATGACTGGTCCCAGTAACAAAGGCGCTTGTCGACTCAGAAATCGAGAGAAAACCAACAACACACCCGGCAAAGTGAAAGCAAAAAAACAAGCGCAAATTCAAACGCGATTTCAATATGTCACATATTGACAGTGGCTCACCGATGCCAATGACATAATTACCCAGCTACATTTCCGAAAGAATGCAAAAGCATTGACATATATTTTTCCTTCCTACAATAGCCCGACGGGCAGGGCAGAGATAGATTTTGGTAGCCCGACTGGAAAAATCGCTAGCCCCGGGACGTCGGGCTAGCGATTTGCGAGCCCTGTATCTGATTGAGGAATCACTCATCTTTGGAAAAGAGAGTTTATTACAGAGAAATGGCTCTTTCCAAAATAAAAGCTATACTATCCGCTTCTTCTGGGCTATATTCTCAGCAGCATATTGTAGCGGGTCAGGGCTGTTCGGGTTCTGTTTGTACAGTTATGTTTTGTTTATGTTGCCATAGTGATGGTGACGCCCTCTCGCTGCGACGGTGTGTCCTTCTCTTTT